TCTATTAGAATTAGAAATGATTCTTATCCCAAATATTAAAATAAATATCAAAGAATGAGACATAACATCTAATACTCTGAGAAGAAAAAATATAACACAAACAGAAAATGAAAGACACCTCACTATTCCCAATGTGGTTATTATTTATGGAATGGATAAAACATGTTGTAGAAAAGGTCACTACAGTTAGATTAACACATAAAAATCGCAACATGCCACATCTATCTAAATAATTTTGTAGAACAGCTGAAAAAGCAAATTTCATCAAATTTAGACAGCTTATAGTGGAATAAATAAGTATGGTGAGGTATTAACTAACCCTAAGTTTCACAACAGGCAGCTTCTAGCCGGTTCGTTGAAGCTGGATCTCAGCCACACAAGGATCATTGGACAAGAAATCAGTTGAGTTGGACTAGAGCTGCCCAAGTGTCTTAATAATGAATGCTCCACACTGTCTGTTAAGAGAGAATATAGATAATGTTAGAGTAGATGAGTGTAGACCATCAATCAACACTTACTAAATACTTGCAGAATTTGTGATACTAATTACATTAGAGTGTTAAGAAGTGAGAGGCTAGCAATCAGGAGGGGGCCCAAAACTCAGGAAAGACTTGGGCTCCCTGCTCTCTGAGAGCTTACAGTCTGTATTCAACAATCTTTAGTGTCACAGTATGAATGTTTAGTATATAAAATAAGGAACAGGTCAGCACAGATTACGAGTTACAACATTTCCTTCTATTAGATGCATCTTAAAAACTTATTTTTAAAAGAGGAGTAGTGTTTGGCAGGAGGTTATTTAGAAAGTTGTCCAAAACCCAAAAAGTACCCTTCAAGTTGGCATAGTCTCGACAGGAATATAGGTACATCTATGCTGTATAATCCAGAATAAGTCCATATACCTATGTCATCCTGAGGTTTTTTATTTTTTATTTTTTTTTGGTTAAGAATAGTTTGGGTCAAAGAAACAATCTAGTTGCTACTACCTTTTTGGCCCTTTGGGCCTAGGCCAGCTCCTAATTTAGGGGACCAAGCTGTCCTTAGACATAGTTTTAATTTTGGCAAGGCTCAAAATTTTCCTTATCTGTTCCACTATCTCTAGAGCAATGCTGTCCAAGAGAACTTTCTACGGTGATGGAAATGTTCTATATCTATACTGTCAAATACAGTGGCCATTAGTCACATGTGGCTGTTTAACACTTGAAAATGTGGCTAGTTGCAAGTGAGGAACTGAATTTTTAATTTCATTTAATTTCAATTAGTTTAAAATTGAAATTAGATAGCCTCCTATGGCTAGTAGGTACCATACTGGAGACAGCATGGCTCTAGGGGTTCAAACTTAACTGGTTTACTAAAACCAAACTCTAAAGTCTAGCCTGGATTTCCATGTTCCATTTAATACTGTCCAGTACCACTTAATATTGTTGACTGCTGTATTCTCAGTGTCTAGAATACTGGCAAGCACAAGGTAGGTGCTCAATAAGTATTTGTAGAATTACTAAAATCTATTTTAATAATATATAGCCATTCATGTCTAATCATCTACTCATAGCTTATTGGCTGTAACTCAGTATACTCTGGTCCTCTCAGGAGAAATGAAGTGAAATCAAACTTCTCAAACCATCCCAAACACTTCATCGATATTTCGAGCTGTCTATGCTGCATTGGTTCCACAACGGAACTCACATTAGAAAATAACACGAATTTTTGACTTGTCCATGGTTTCACAAAAATTGTTCTAAAAAAAAATTGAAAGATAATCACAAAAAAAAGAAAGATAATCACAAGCCAAAACGTGCATTTGAAAGACTGAGGATGTACCTTCACAATAAAAATAAAACAAGAATTGTCAAAGTGAAATGTCAGAGATAACAACTATCAAACTTAGTACTTAAAGAAATTGGACATTTCATAATAATTAAGTCTTGAGGGTTGAGCCCTCATGAATGAGATTAGTGCCCTTATTAGAAGAGACAGGAAAGAGCTTGCTTCTGTTCTCTCTTTCTGCTTTACGAGAGTACAATGAGAAGACAGGCATCAGCAAACTGGGAAGTCAGTCCTCACCAGATACCAGATCTGCCAGCACCTGGTTCTTGGACTTGCCAGCCTCCCAGTCTCCAAAACTGGGAGAAAAAAATGGTTGTTGAATAAGCCACTCAGTCTATGGTATAGCTGTTACAGCAGCCTGAACAAAGACAACTTTATATTGTGGAAATAATTTATTACCAGACTTAAATACACTGGATTCACCTTGATTAAATGAAAGACACAATCAGAAATTACAAGTTTAATAGAAACCTTGATGGAAGCTAAGAAGCTACAATACTAGTGCTTTTGAGACTACAAAGAACAGGATAAACTAGATCTATGTTTAGATATATAAGGTATTTGTGCACTTGTTACGATGTTTAAGTTTAATCTATACTT